CTTGGCTGTTGCCCAGTTGTCATCCTCACTCCCTACATGCCGCTGTCTGTAAATTAAATTTTCTTTAAATGCATACAGTGTGTTTTCTGCAGTTGTTAAAGTTAGAAATGATTTAAAGCACACCATACCATAATTTTTTTTTTTTAAATGTTAGTTATTTTTTTGGCCTTTTCATGCCTTTATTGGATAGAGACAGCTGAAGATTGACAGGAAAGGTGGGTAGAGAGAGAGGGGATGACACGCAGCAAAGGGCTGCAGGTCGGATTCGAACCCGGGCCACTGCAGCAACTCCGTCTATGGGTCGCCAGCTCTACCGACTGAGCTAACCGGGTGCCCACCATGCCATCGTTTTAATCTTTTCATCTAAAAACTGATAGTGAACTGTGACCTCTTGGATTCAGGGACGTGAAGCAGTCTGTCCTGTCAGTCTGTGAAGCTAACGTTAGCTTAAGCAGCTACAGAGCAGAGCTGTCAACTGTGAGCATTTGGGGTTGTAAGTTTGTTTGGTATCTAAACAATGTCAGATGTGACTTGTCTACTTGCCAGTTTACCACAACTGGCTAACTGTGTAGTTGTTGTGAATCTTGTGATTGTATTTGCATATCAACTGAGTAATGTCCAGTACAGCACTGATGTAATATCTCAATAAATGTTCACTAAAATGCTCTATTTTTTACAGAAAACTTGGAAAGTTTACTTAAAAGTGACGTAAGTCTTTTCTCTGACTGAGTGGTTAAAACAAGGTCCTCTATAACCAGCAACTATATTATTATTTATTATGATTATTTTAATGCGTAAACAGGGTTTGCAATAATGTTTGGTACAATCATGTGTTGTATAGAAAATGATCAGAATTTATATCATAATGTCTCTGCAAAACGGCAGATTGATGTTTTGCACTAATCATTTAGTCCTACTATGATCCTAAGAGTTCAACAGACAGTAATCGGTACATAAGATACGACTCATCACTGTACTTCTAAGGAAACATGAGTTCACTGTAAGCCTGTCCAAACTCAAACCTATTGTGGACGCTGCACACGTTTAGTTTCCACTGCAAAAGGAAAACCTTGGAAGGCAACAAGGAGAGGAAAACAAATGGGGAGGAAGCTATTAGTAGGCAATGCACGGGATTTCAGCCATATGCATGTTCTGGATCTCGTCCACTGGCTGGAAGTCTCTCCAGTCGGCCAGCAGTTAAAGCTCCCATCCCACTGAGGCAGCTATCTGTCCTGCATATGGCACGGCAGACAGACGGGAGTCAATTGTCTACCCATTCTTGTTTTATTAGGTTCTGCCATCCAGTAAATTAATGAATCGGTATCATTCTACAAGGGGAAACTCTGCCCAAGCTGATGTGGAGTACTGTGGTGTTCCAGTTGTACTTCAAATCAGCTCTACAGCTCAGCCAGCCACCCATCCATGTTAAACTGAAATACGTCTTGATGTCTCCATAAATATTACTCTGCTGTTGATACAAATTCATACAAACGACTGAACACTTCCATGGTCACTGACTATGATGGTTATTTTTCCCTCAGCAGAACTCAGGCGTGGATTTACTGGACAGCTGTGATAGTAACCGCTCATTTAATAGCAGCATGGCTGTTGTGCAGCATCGATTACTAGAAAACCAAAAACATGGAAGAGGCTTCAAGTATAGATGTAGGATTACTGATGGATAGGATGCATACCTATATTAAACTTTGGAGGTCACACTCTCTTCATAACAAATTCTATTTAAACATGATTTGCAAGTTTGTTGTCCATGTTGAACTTGTGTTACAGGTTTTATTTAATAAGAGAATCATTTCTGTTCTTTGGTTCAAAAATGGAAGCTGAGTGAGCTGCAGCACCAACTGCAGATCAAGGCTGTTGTGTTAATCAACTCAATACAGAACACAATGAGCTGCACTTCACTGCGTGGAGTCAAAACGGAGGAAAAAAATATAAATTCTTGTGTAACACAAAAACACAAAATGAAACAAGAATGACCGACTGATGATGCTATAAAAATGTTCCACTATGTTTTAGCAAAAGCTGTAGAGCTCAAAGAGACAATGAGCAACAATATCCATAGAGTCCTACAGAGATGATTTTACACGAGTAGCATTTTTCATTAGACCCTCCCTGCCTGCTAATTACCCACATCTTTCAAACCCCACACCACCAGCCTGTAACGAATACTTTCTCCTAGAAATGTGTTCCAAGCTGAATCTAAAAAACTCTGACGTCACTAAACGTTAACTGAGGGCTGGGATGTTGGATGTTACAGGGACATCCAAATGCAGATCCCACTGTTCTGTTTGTATAAAAAGAAATGACTCAGATGTTAGGCATATGGTGCTGTGTTCTTTATACTATGATAGTGTTCCTAGTATAATGAATTGATCAGATTCTTGCCTATACGCAGCCCTAGTGGTCAAAGGTATTGACTTGACAAAGCTCCTTCAGAGTCACAGATGACATTATTCAACTGTTTGCAGATGCTGAGTAGGACTAACCATGACAAGCGTGGTGGATGGCCCCCCTAAAAAAACTGAAAGAAAATAAAAAAATTACTCTGGCTTGATAAGACGACCAGTGTAAAATGACAAAATCTAGAAAATATAGACATAATTCAGCTTGTAGTTAGACGCTAACCTAACCTAAAGTTAAAAAAAGGACAACTTGCTTAGCTTACTGGCAGTAAATGTACTAAAAATAACCGCCTATACAAGCACACAGAATGCTATCCCTCTCGCAGCCTGTGCGTACCTTAAATTAAGAGCTATATGATTTCTTTAGTTACAGATTCAGGAGAGCTTGGTTGCTGGCCTGGGCCTCCTCTGCACAGGACTGCTTTGTTGTCCACTCTCCTGTCTGACTGGCTTAGGGAATCACAAACAGTACACAGTTTTACAGCATTTTCATTCTCTTTCTCCACATCAGCTCCTGGGGGCCCTGTGTCCCCAATCTGCCCTCCTCAGTCCTGGCTGCTGATCCCTCTGATCCACCCCTGTCCGCCAGGATTCAGCGGACAACTTTTATAATGCTGCTAGTCCCAGCCAAACGCCCTCCCTGTTGTCTCTGATAAAAGAACTGATGTGCTTCAATGGGCAGCGGACTGAGAGCGCACACACACACACACACACACACACACACACACACACACACACACACACGTATGTATACTGTACATGACATCACCTGCAGGCAATTTAGCAGAAGAGAAACATCTCTTTTCCTTTTTTACATTTCGTTTTCCCCTTCTCTCCTTTATCTTAACCCTGTCCTTTTTTCCTCTCCTTTCTCTTTTTTTCCACTCACTCACTCTCAGTAGTAATGTTGGACTGCTGTCTAATATATGCTAAGCTGCTGCTGCCATGGTAACTCCAGTGCAGGATTTAGACCCAGTTCAGGACTGGAGGGGCGATGTGTGAGGGGCAGGTGGAGGGACTGAGCAGCCTTAACTGTAATCCCGCCCCCCATATCCTCCAAAAAACATAATATACAGCAGCACACATTAGAAAAAACAGAGACAGCTGTACACTATAGACACACACACACAGACACACACAGACACACAGAGACACACAGACACACAGACACACACAGACACACAGACACACACACACACACACACACACACACACACACACACACACACACACACACAGGGGATAAACCCAAATTATCATGCTGCCTTAGCAATAACTGAGGGGGTAGAATTGGCTACCTGGTTGGATGCCACAGTTGTACATGTAGATGTAAACGTTAGAGGAGGCTGGGGAAGTCAGAATATGAGTGGTGACTAACAGAAATAGTAAGGAAATGACAGCCAAATGAGTCACAGGCTTAATTTCCATCTCTGATTGTACCATGTGTCAAAGGAGATCCCCAGAAGGTGTTGGAGATTAGTTATCCCTCATTGGTAAGAGAGAGTAACAACTGTAATGTAGAGGAGATAAGTGATTCTGCACCTCATAGCTGACGGGAGAGCTCGACACGTGCGGGGAAACACGGCGAGGAGAAGCCCTTCACAACAAAGATTAATGACGGTTTGATTTGTCTGTGCGTCCATTGCCTGCACATGTGACAGGAAATGCCCTTAAACATCCCTGTGAAGCGTGTGTATTGGATGCGAGTCCATATGTGTGTTTGGGAATGTACAGTACATGCTTGAGGGTGTGTGTGTGTGTGTGTGTGTGTGTGTGTGTGTGTGTGTGATGACAGTGCTCCGGCATGTGGGTGTACAGCTGTAGGAATGACGTAATTAGCTGAAAGCTGACACACTCGGCCCCTCGGTGGAGGCAGCGGTCGGTGAGAGCTGGGAGTTGACCGGTTCTATCGGTGGAAAAAAGGAAACATGAATGAGGGGTTTCCAGCGGTGACGGTTAGTGATGGCTGTCGGCCCAGTTGCTATGGGCTGACGGGGTGTGGGTGGGGGTTAAATGGGGGGTGGGGTGGTGACTGTGCAAACTCACCCTATCGGCTTAGATATAGCGCTCAGGCACGTCGTCTACCGATGCTTCCCCCTCCTCCCCTGCATGCGCATACCCTGCTGTCATTTCTCCTTGAGGCATAAAGCAAGCCAAGTAACACGCCCCCATTCTATCATCAACACACACTCCAGCACACACACATGCACACTCTACACTGGCACTGCTACAAGCACAAACCAGATAGTTCAACTGTCAAAACCTGAACGCTTGCCTCACATACAGTGAGAGTAATGATACACATACATACACAGAGAGCAGAGGGAGATAGCCACACACAAACATATTCATACACACACACACACACACACACACACACACACACAAACATATTCATACACACACACTCTCTCTACATGCCCCCCTACTCTGACTATAAACAAACTAGCATGCTCAACCCACAACCCAAGGTGTGGTCCTTCTCTCCACACACACTCTTCCTCCCCTCTTCACCCTGAAGGAAAACGGGGCAGTTCGTTCCTGGGGGTATGTGCCAGCCCCTTCCCTGTGCTCTCTTACCTGTCCAAGATGTCATGGCTGGACGTGGCTGTGGCTCCCAGCAGTCCTAGTGCTGCACTCCCCACCGCTGCGGCAGCCCCGCTGCCTGCCTCCATGATACTGACTCACTGCAATGAGCAGCCTGCCAGAGAAACGGAGAGGGAGGGGAGGGGGGAGGGAGGGGAGGATGTGAAGAGGTAGATCAGGAGGGAGAAAGACGAATGTGATAAAATAAATCACATGTAGAGGCGAGAGGGAGATGACGAGGGGAAAAAAGCAGAGGGAGAGAGGAATGTGAGGAATAATGAGAGAGGAGACACGACTGAAAGAGATGAGTGGTTAAAAAAGAAAAATAGGGAAATGAATGAAGGTTGGCACGGGACCAGGATGGGAGAACAGGGTTGGGGGGGAGAGAAAAAAGATCAGTAATTGTGTGTGTAATCTGTAGATCAAATAAGTCACGCTGATGGAGCTCTGCAAAGCAGGATTTCACTTTGGTGTTAGCACATGGAGATTCTGGCACACACACATTCCAGCGTGAATCAACAGTCAAACACCGGCCGCCCTGCTGTCCTGTGCTGACTGTGCTCTCTGAGGTCTCAACCCAGAATGTCAATGGTCAAATCTATTTTTTCCAGCTAGTCCATTTTTTATTTAAAATGCCATTTTTTCCATCTCATCTACAGCAGTGCTGTGTCCAGACATTCACTGACTTACACCGTCAGCTTTCATACAAAAAAAAAGGTGCTCAGTGCTGGCGTCAAGTATATCAAGTAAATGCAAAGCAATGAGACACATCCTAAAAACACAAGCTGCAATAGCAAACATACTGCAAGATTTCTGCAAACACAACAGACTTTGGAACGCTCTAACATAAGGCACTGTGTTCCAAGAATAGCTTTAAGTCAGCACATTTAAGTTATACTAGCATTGAGCTTGTGAACCTTGTCCCATTACTAATGCTTGGAAAGCACGTTCATATTGTTGTTTTTGTCCAAAACACAAAGCTTACATGGTAGGATGTGACTAAAGTCTTGAAAATATTGTATTTATTGCATTGCAGTGGTTGCTTTCATACAGGAAAAACAACAATGCAGAAATCACTGCCTCTGCCTGCTATCTCTGAAAACCAGATGTTGAGAATGAAGAATGTTTGCATGTAATCAACTATTGAATTGATTAGTCTATAAAATGCAACCCGGTCTCACTCTCACCCGGTCTCAATGTGTGGCATTTCTGCTTGAAGAAATTACTTAAAAATGAATAAATTATCAAAATTGCTGACGATTGTTCTTCTGTTCATCAACTACATGCTTTACCAGCTAACTGTTAAAAGAACAGTTCTCCAGCCAATTAGAACTGAGTTTTCTAGGATCTACCAACTAAACTAGTGTTTCCCAAGCAGAGGTACTTCTACCCCAGGGGGTACTTCTGTTGTTGCTAGGGGGTACATAGAGAGATTGTAGAGTACCACGACTAATTTGGAAAAAATAAATAAATAAATTATGATTTAATTAAAAAAAATACATCCACATTGAGTCAGCTATAATAATTAATTTAGGTGTTTGAAGTTGTCTTAATTGCAATTAAGAGTGTGTGAAAACTAGTTAGCAAGAGAGCAGAGGAGATAAAATAAGTAGCTAAATGTAATGAATAAATAATGGAAATAATTTACTAAAAGTAATGGATGAATGGTTGGAACGAGTTTTTGCCCCTTCATGTGGTTGTAGTATGAATGCAAACTTACCACTGGCAGATCAACTGTATGGAGGTAGTGTAACAGCAACTATTATATTCACTTTAATATGATAAACAGTTGAATACCATCCAGTTTGTAATAAAGTCAAATGAACACATTTGGAACTTTGACGGTGGTGTTGAGGAAGGTTTTGGTGAAGGGGGAATTGAGTTCATCAGACTGGGCTGTGTGTGTACATCTTACAACAACAGTTGGGAACCACTGAACTAGACAAGCAGTTAGCATCCCTTCATTCTTATATGCACAGTGTATGTGTCGCTTTCTGACATAAAAAAAACACTTTGATTAAGGTTACTTTGAGACAGTGCTCATCTCCTATCCACTGAATCATCAGTGCACCCATAATCACAGCAGAGAACGCCCTCTCGGGTATTATTGCTATAATACGACCCACCACATGACAACCTCCCAATGAAAGCCAAATGTGACGCTGTCAGCAGATGAAAATAGAGGACAGGAACACAGCGGGAATGACCCAATAAAAAGGGGCAGGAGAGAAAAGTCCACATCGCCTGTTTTTCTGTGACAGTCAATGGCAATTCGCTTTAATCCCAGGAGGATGACGCCGAGAGGAGAGAGATGGAGGGAAGGTGGGAGGTGGGGGGAGGGGGGCGCAGGAGGAGAACGCGTGGGAGGAGAGGATCCTCACAGGCCACACTAAAGCAGCTGGTTCTACATCTGAGGAAGACTTGCTGGGCATACATAATCCCCAGGGCTCTCAGTGGTGTGCAGTTTAGTCAAAAAAGGCATCATACATAATATACGTACTATTTATCATAGACAGATAAGAGATACTGAGAGGCATCTATTCTAAAACAGGTATTTTTTCTTTTACTCTAACAGGAATTCCTCTAAAATGCTGAGGTTAATTTCACATCTTAAAGAAACTTTTTCATTCAAAGTGATTCAGGTATCTCGGTTCTAAAAATAACAAGGCGACAGTATGAATCATGAGTGATTAAGCTTCCCTCTGGACCAATCAGAAACTAATGCGTCACCTTGTTTTTACCTGTGACCGTCCACAGCGCACATCCAGACAGGCAGGATGGAAAGATTATCAACTTCTGCGGCTCTATACGCGCTCAGTAGCGCAGTACAGGAGTTCATCTATTTAAACCAACACAGTATTGACTGGATAACTACAGCACGCGGCGGTATCGACTGCTATGAAGAAGAGAGCAGTGTGACATGAAGGCAGTGTGAGTTGTGGACACAGGCTACGTGTTGAAATACATCTCATGTCCTGGGCTACTGTAAACTCCTGCTCCTAAATCACCCACAAACAGCTCCCGAGTCACCCAGGAAGGACATTCATGAGTGTGTTTTAGTGTGGCAGCGCCTCCATGCACATGCTGTGGACACAAACATTTCTTTTATTACATGCGTAGAGAGAATCCAGTGTGTGCATGAGTTAAAAGAGGAAGTGAGTTTATGTATGCCAGGCAGGCAGACAGAGCAGGCTGAGCTTCCCACAAATACCTGATGCAGCAGAAAACCCATAAAATGGCCGACCTTGAGAGAGGACAGAGGCTCTGAGATTAAAAATCAAGACTGAATAGCCTCTACACAGTAAACATCGTTCATTCCCATCAGGACGGCAGTGTAACCGGTGACAAAGTTGCTTCTTTAGAATCCAAGATCGCCACAGGTTTGAGTCTGGAAATGTCAAACTCGTCCAACTTAACAGCGATGACGCAGCCGCTGTGAGTTCATTAAAGCTAAAAGCTAAAGAGGAATACAGCTAGTTTTTTTTTTAAATGGATGTTGTATGATGACGTGTCTGTGTGTTGTTTTGCCTCGGTTTGTCCTGTAATATTTCTGTCAGTGTATTTCAGTGGAAAGGACAGCATTTGAGATGCCAGTGTCTACTATCCACAACAGATAATGGCTGGATAAAGCATGTGCATGTCCGGCAGGCTTATTCTTTATATGTAAGACAACTATGACCTAAAATGTGTGGTGACAGCCTTGTTTCCACAACCCAAACGGGACTAAATCTAAATAAAAAGTAGGTTTTAGAAATAAAAAAGTATGACAAAATGTATTATAATGTAATGAACAGATGCATGGACAAATGAACTAATTATTGTTATAATGCAAAGAGGTATTCGGAGACCAGCAGGCATCTGTAGAATGGCACATTGCATCCTCCTGATAAGGAAAACTATATCGTCGGCCACCAAAAACGTCTTCTTCAGAAACTGATTTAGCTACCTGATGAGCCTGCTGCACTAATGACCAGCATCTTGTATTTCGTTACGTCTCTGTCAGTAATGCTAGCTGACATAATCAGCTCTTGGAAAGAAAAGAGAGTTAAAGTGTCACTTAGTGATGCAACTACCTATGATTTTCATTATAGATTAATTTGTCAGTCATTTTCTCCATTAATCGATTAGTTGTTTGGTCCATAAAATGTCAGAAAATGATGAAAAATGTTGATCACTGTTTCCCAAAGCCCAAGGTAAAAAGTGTCCAATGTCTTGTTTTGTCCACAACCCAAACACATTAAAAGGAAGCAGAAAATATTCACATTGGAGAGGCTGAAATCAGAGAATTGGGACATTTTGAAATCAAAGCAATTCTTCGTTTAATAGTAGGGATGGGTAAAATTATCGAGTCATCAATGCATTGCAATATATTTTTTCCCAATTCAATATGGATTCATTAAATCCTCTGAATCGGTTCAAGCCCCTGGCCAGTGGTGGCACAGTGAGCAACACCTTTGTGTGATTTGCGTTGTACGAACGGAGGCCGCACTCGACCACGCAACAACAACATGGCAACCGAAGCAGGTAGCAGCAGTGTTAACAGACTCGACAGATCCTTCCTTTGCAAACTGCCGCCAAACTCTCCCCGCGCACAGAAGATAACGGAGTCTGTGGCCATCTTCATATCTAAGGACCTACGACCGTACAGTGTCGTGGAAAACGGGGGTTTTAAGAAGATGGTATACACACTCGAACCACGATACGCCATACCAACACGCAAACACATGACGGAAGTCGCCATCCCGAAGCTTTTAAAATTATCAACAGGTACTCTCATGAATTATTTGTGTATTTCTACTTATTACTGAATCGATATCGAAGCATTTAAATCAATATCGAATCGAAATCGAATCGAATTGTGACCTAAAGAATCAAAATCGAATCGTGAGGTTCTTAACAATACCCAGCTTTATTTAACAGTGTAATCATTGTCGCTCTCATGCAGCTGGGACAGCTGAAAAACATGCAGCCCACCCACATTTATAAAACACTAATGTTAAAGTCACTTCATCAAGAGCCATACAGTATGTGGGTGTAAAAAAAAAAAATTTTTAAAAAAAAAAAAAAGGGAAATGGATGGGGTGTTTGGGTTTTTTTAATTTTTTTTTTTGGGGG